GGTGAAATCAAAGTATGTCATTCCTCATACAAGATGATCTGGTGTCTCAAGTCTAAGGACTAGTTGCACGACTATGACATGAGAACATTTTTCATAGACACTTGAGTGAAATACCAAATGAAGTTTTCATAGTGGGTCATGTTCAGTGAACTTGTTCTTTAACAAGCACCTACATGTTATCCTCAAGTATCCCATATACTTCAATCTATGAGATCGATTGTTTACTTTCCAAGTAAAGAGGCTTAACATGTATCAATCTTTGGGCATTGTCAATGCCCTGTCTTGACAAGACAATGACCAGGAACATATTTAGGAACATGGCTATGATGCATAGTGATCTCATAATTATAACAACTTTATAATTCTCTAGCAAGGCCTTTATGTTCCATGGGCTTCATCCAATTAGTACTTAATAACTCCTTATTATTGCACTAACATGAAGGAAACCTCTATCACATAAAATTATGCGATTAAATATGCATTAAATGACAATACATATTCCTTAACCAATCTAATTGGCTCAAGGGCATATACCACCAATTTCCCACTTGCACTTGAGTTAATTACTAACGTATCCAAGATCGAACTTTTCGCTTAGCAACTGTGTCTCTACTAAGACAACCTCAAATTGCAATATTTGAGAATATGTTCATTTATATGTTTGACAATCTTTATTGTCATAATCGAAATACTAATTTAGATCAAAACAAGACCTTGATTCCATTATTATGGCTCTTGTTGTTACTTTAACAACTCAGAATCCTTTATTCGTTTATCAAACCAATGATCCAAATATCCCTTCTTTTGTAGCCTAAACAAAAAGTTTGTATTCGATTATAGATATAATTATGCAGTTATCTCTTGTTTTGGAATCAGTCTAATATAACTGCTCAATCATGATTTTATGTCACTTTTAACATTTAAGATTCTCTTTATGTTAAACTTCTTTAACATGTAATCCTAAATTCTTTTGTTGAATCCATTTTTAGGCTCTAACTCTTTAGTCCCATTTTTTGCTTTTCTTAGACTAATAAATGTATCTTATACATTTTAATGAGTAACTTATCTTACTCCAACTAACCTTATGATGTGAACAAAATATGTTTATCTTATTCAATGTATTCAACTATTTTGAATTTATTACATTGAATAGAGATTATTATCTAATCATTCATGTTAGTTTATTTAGTAGACTCATCTTATACGAGTAGTGCATTAATATGCATCCTACTAATGGTTTGTAGCTAATGGATTCATCTCATGAATAATGCATCTTTATGCATCATATTAAATCAATTTTTGTGCATAGAT